ATATATATATATATTACATTTTTAAATTGTTAAATATTTGACTGTAGACTCATAAAATTATCAAAATATCAAAAACACCCTTAAATATTAGGATTATCAAAAGTCTTCTTTTAACGTTAAGATTTTATAGAAACTCTCATTTAAGTTTGAGATTTTACTGTAACCCCCTCCCCCTAAAAGCGCCTTTTTTATTGTTTGGGGTTTTAAAAACCCCTCCCCTTAAAAGCGTTTTTTTTTTTCTTTGGGGTTTTTTTAGGGGGGGTGTTGATGTCAGATATCAAACAGGTGGTGTATTTGTGGATTAAAGTAGAGTTAGGGTCCTCAAACTCCTTCAGATGACTAACTCTGTAGATTGTTGTTCTTGAAGAGCTTGTAAGAGGCCAGAGTTGGGTCCTCCAGTTGTTCCTCCGACGATCAACTTAGCGTTTGAACATGAGTGGGCAAAATATAAGAGAAATAGTCAGAAGAATTTGTTCAGAGTTGAATGCGGAATAAATTACCTCATCCAGTGCAGCTCCCTTTTATAATAGATTGGAAGGGCACGAAGGTAACTGTGGTCGAGTCTAGGCAGACAGCTGACACGACATGTGTCTTTATAGGTGTCGGCCGTAGGCGAGGATGACTCATCCAAGCAATTAGTGCGAAGGTGACAGCAACTGCTTGACGCTGACTGGGTCCAATGAGTCATGAAGACTATGGGAGCTAGAGCAATGATGACACTTACAGCGTATTTAAGGCTAGGGTAGTTGGTTGTCTGCGGGGAGTTCGAGGACACACCGCCTCTCTAGCCGTCTGACTGAAGGCCGACAAACACCGTCTTTTTAGTCGGTTGCGCAAGTTGTCAGCTGAAAATAGCGAGCCAAGTCTAGAGTCTTGAGAGCTCGACCTGGAGAACAAGTTGACAAGTATCACCTTTCGATTCCGCCACATAAGTTGTTGATTTACGGAGTCGGCCGCAGGAACGGCTCGAGTCATTGGGTGCAAGAGTAATCTGATTAAGCATGGAGCGGGACACGCTTCAGCTTCTCAGCAGAGACTAACACTTGGTCACTCTACAACCTATAACATGGGGATTTCCTGATAGCCCCTACACTTAACGGGGATTTCCTTATATTTTCAAAGTTATGGGGGGTTATCTGATAATCATCCAAAGTTAAGGGGGTTATTTGATACTCATCCTTATAAGTTTCCAAAAAGAACCCAACAATCTTTTTGGTGCTAGCGCAAGATCCAGATCAAGCACCTAGATTACAAAACCTTCGCCCTTTCTACATCTTGGCAGAAACCCACCTTAAATTGTTTTGAGTGCCATGTTTGCTGTTGCACGCCCAACATCCAACAGTACTTAGGCGTGATCTGGAAAGGAGGAAAGGAAAAAGACCATTGTATTGTAGGTAGAAAAAGGAAGAGTTCGCCTTTTAAATATCATAAAAGAAAATAATGACGAGTTTGATTGCTGATGTGGTTCGACCTGGTTTGGTCGCGTCTCACGTGGTCGGTTGGTCGGTCGGTGCGGGTCAGGCCCAAATGCTGACGGGACCACGCCTCGCCCTCTTGCCAGCCCTAAGTATATTAAAGCTAGAACAATTTTTCACTTTAGCCCTATTTAAAATTTTTATTATTAAAATCGACTCTTTTTTCTTTTATTTACCAAAACCGACCTGATTTCTTGATTAGCGGCTTAATCACATTCCTAATTAGTCGGGGTTGCCAACCCCGACTATTTAGGATATTAATTTTTAGGATTTAAGGCTTCTAATTAGGGTTTAAGACCCTCCTAAATAGTCGGGGTTGGCAACCCCGACTAATTAGGAATGTGATTAAGCCGCTAATTAAGAAATCGGGTCGGTTTTGATAAATAAAAGAAAAAAGGGTCGATTTTAATAATAAAAAATTTTAAAAGGGCTAAAGTGAAAAATTGTTCTTAAAGCTATTAAAGCTATCTCCGGTGACAACATGATATTTAAACTTGTACGAAAAGATAAATAGGTCCAAAAATAAATTTTCCGGTTATTTTTCCGACGACCACTCAGGTAATCGGTCACATATGCTTAAGTGGCATGTTTATGATGACGTGGCAACTGTAGTTAGCCTCATTCAACCCATTAGAATGAGTGATTTTCAAATTAGGATAAAAAAATATGATTTTTTTTTCAAATTTGAGACTTCTTCTTCTTCTTCCTTCAAATTGGTGATTCTTCATTGCTTGAGCTTAAGGAATCCATGTTCTCAAGCAATGAAGAAGCCTAATTTGATAGAAGAAGCTCCCAAATTAAAAGGACCTCTCTCTGTTTTTACTCTAATTTAAAAATATACCCCTCTAATGGTCTGAATTAGGCTAACTGTAGCTGTCATGTTATCACAAATATGCCACATAAGCAATTTGTGACAGATTATATGAGTGGTCACCAGAAAATTTATTTTTGGACATATTTGTCTCATCGTGAAAGTTTAAATGTTATGTTATCGCTGGAGATAATTTTAACACCATTTTGATCATTAGGTATTAGTTTTTATATCTATCCGGTAATTTCGTTTTTTTTTGTGTGTGAAAGTCAAATATAAAACCATCCTATACTATATCTACCTACCTAGTACCTACTTATCTATCTATTTATCTGCACTATTATTTAACATAAATCACTCTTTTGATTTGTGTGAGCTTCATTTTTAATTTTTTGAGAATTTTCCTAAAATTTGGACAAAAAGTTTCTTTGCATTGAAAAAAGATCAGCGAAAATGGCGTTGACGCCGGGAAAAACTAAAGGAAACGTTAGCATGCATAAAAAAATCAATTGAAATAGCCCCACACTCGGAAAAATCAACAAAAATATCTTCAAACTTGGAAATACCCAAAAAATAAAAAAGATAAATAAATAAAACTAACTACGCTATTCCATTGACCATTTGGCTACAACACACCGCAAGATTCAATTTCAAATATGCACCGTGCGTGCTGTAATACAACTTATTGTAGTCTCTACTTTTAAATCAACTGAAAATATGATCAAAATTTTTCCTTAACAGTCTTAATGATGTTATAAAAAAATACTAAATTACTCTAGGAATCATGAAAGAGA